TTCTTTATTGGTGCAAAGGGGAGAGGTTTTAAATAAAGAAGAGAGGGTTCATTTGTTGGATTCTCTGCCCCAGTATTTGTCTTAAACCCAGACATGTTGTGAGGGCCCTAATTCCTCTTCATCTCTCACTAAGTGAACTGTTCTGGTGCTGGATTTCTTCTTCTGTACAGGGGCAACTGCTACTGGCATGGATTGTTCTTGTGGGTCATCTGCAGTTCAAGTGGCCTGTTGGTCTGCTTTCCTCCTCCTCCCCCTGAGGGTGCTGTCTAGGATCAAGAAGTGTCCAAAAAACAGCAACCAGGGCCCAGAACGCTGCATAACTTTGCGTCTCTGTGGAGCCGCCATAGCATTTTTCTTTCACATATTTTAGCACTTAAACAGTGTCCTGTAGTTGTCCAGGGGTGAATTTCCAAACTACTGGAGGAGGGAAGTCCTCCAAATACTGGCCCATATCCTCCCCCCTTCCATGCCACTCATGACTATCCACCGTCAGGGCAAATCTCTGAAAGGCCTTCCTAAAAATGTCTTTTGTAACTCTTAAACATGGTCCGCATAGCACTGAAGAGACCTGGCAGACGTAGCAACAAGAATATGCTTTCCTTAACATCCAAAGGGAAATTCAAAATTCTTGAAAGCTGTTTTAACAATCCTGAAGCAGAAAAGAAGGTGAAGAGCTAATCATTCTCCCCTGTTTTCCCTACAGACTTAATTTATTCTCAAAGGTAATGCTCGAGGGAAGGGTAGGAGAGCAACACTGAATACACATCTCAAATGGGCCTCATTGCACTTTATGTCATGTCATAAACTGATATCGCACCATAGAGCAACAAGGCAATCCTGACCCCTCCACCTGCTCTGAAAGAGAGCACTGGGAGGATTAAATACAGGCATCTATACAGGGCTAGGTACCACACCGATGTGAACAGACCAAACAACATTGTGACCAGTGGGTCCATACCTATTACAATAAATGCTTAGATCAAATTTATTCCAACCTGCTGTGGTAAGATCTGTTGTTATCTCAACTCTTCATGTGCCACACTGGGCTCCAAATAAGGCTGTCGTGGTTCAGGAATGGCACTCCCCAGTTCAGTGCCCCCACCAAGACTCTCCAAACCATATACCACTCTCTCAGTCCCTCACTTTTCCCCCTCCCTTTCCCCTCTGTGGTGTGATGGAGAGCAGAATTGAAGGCACAAAAGGCAAAGATTACAGGCTGAGATAAGAACACTTTACTGGAAACAGCAAGGAGATAAGAAAAAATGTACAGTAGCAGCAACACTAGCAATGACAGAGGGTACAAAAAAAAATTATTCATATGGAACTCATTCTGATAATAGACAATACCAGACAGCTCCCTCCACCACATTTTTTTGATGGTAAAGAACCCCTGCTCCCTGGAAAAATCCCTTTCCCCCGCCTTCAGAGGTGGGACATGAGGTGGTATAGAATAACCTCTGTGTCCTAGCAACACCCCCTCCTGGCTACTGCAAAAATTAATCCTGTCCAGGACAGGGTGTTTTTTGGTTTTGTTTTGTTTCTCCACAAATCCAAAAAATCCTTTCACATGCATGTTGTGCTACAGCAGTATCAGGTTTAGGACACAAAACTTTCACATGGTATTATTTCATTTACCTATAGTGACTGCTGGCCATCAATGAAACAACACTCGGTGGGTCTACTAGAAGGGGCCATCGTGGTCTGTCTGAACTGAAAGAGCAAAAACACTTACTTTGAATGACAGACTTCAAATAGTCAAGTAGGTTCTGTTTCAAATATTTCCCTTTTAAAAATTTAAGAACAAATTTTGCTTTTTTTACCGTGTGCATTATTGTGAAGTAAAGGCTTGTAAATAACAGATGAATAACATGAGTTGCTAGCAAGTGTCAGATCCAAGGAAAAACTTTCAGGTCCCCTCTAGGCTTCTGTCTAGTGACTCAGTGGGAGATAGCTCCCTACAAAGCAGGATGAGGATGGCGCTTATCTTTCAAAACTGTACCCTTCCCCAGAAACCTCTACAGGCCAGGTATCTTCAAAGGGGCAAGGAGGCATTTGTTTTCTCCTGCAGGGGACCACACGTACACTCTTGTTTCTATGATACCTTCCTGAAAATTGCATACATTTTTACTAGTTTTATTTCTAATTTTTTCTGTTGCCCACTGCCTCTTTTGTATCTTGTATGTCAGTCTTGAATCCTCTTCTGCACTGAGCTCCAGCTCCAAGAGGATTGATACTCTAATTAATTAGAGTAGCTATCCCTTTCCCTTCATCTGAATAGCCTCATGTCTACCACAGCATCCTCTTAAAAACTATATGTCATGGGTTTGGGTCCACTCAGACTAAACAGAAAGTGAAACCGCAGGCTCCTGTCTAGGGCAAGTGCCATGCTCACTACACTGAAATTAGGAAGCTGCACCTGGGTCAGCTTCATGTCATCTGAGTTGTGGTTGTCACCATCACAGCTCTGCATGTCTGCACCTGCCCTCCAGCAGCCTTACTGAAGCTGACCTCTGTGTCCTGCAGGTAGAGGTCAACTCTTGTGGAGTGTTCAAGGCTTTAGCAACATCCCTCTCAGCTACTGCCTCTATTAGCAGAGTAAAACTTTTTTCTGAGGTAGGAAGATGACCCCAAAACGCTTTTACAGTTTATGAAAAATTGAAGGTATTCTATCAGTCCTTATAGAAACACAGTCTTCATTTTAGAAAAGCTACAACACAAGATTGGCTTTCTCATCTGTTACCTTTGATGAGTGCAAAGTATGGAAGTTTTGATGACACCTGCTTGTTCTCCTGACTCCTTGTAATGCTTTAGGTGTGGGTTTGGGTGGTAGGATGCTTTCGGTTCTACTCTGAACATAAACTATGCAAGTTTTTAAGCCTTCTCCTTCTTCCATCATTCAAAAGACACTTGATTTTTGAAGACCTGATATACATCCCTTCCCTACAGCAAATCAACTGCATGACTCAGCTTGGTGTCATTTGCTATACTGAGAGTACACTTGATCCTACTATGTCATTCATGTCAATATTAAATAGTATTGGTCTCAGGACAGACCCTTAAATCACACCACTTATTACTGATCTCCATTTCAACACTGAGTTGTTTCTTGACTGCAACACTTTGGATGCAGCAGTCCAGCCAATTCCTTATCCACCAAATAGCCCACGCATCAAAGTCTCTCCATTTTAGCATCATAGCCTTACAAAACTACTTGTCCATCTGATTTGCGTCCTCTAGTTCTGGGTTAAGATTGAAAATTTATTTTCTCATATAATAGCAGCCTATTATACGGAGTCCACACATAGCTGATGCCTGTAGTTCTCCATTCTGTGGCTGAACCTCTGCCTTTGGCAGCAGGCTGAACAGGGCAGAAATTAAGAGAGAAGTTGTCAACTGCACTTCATTCCCAATGTAGGGATTGAAAAATTAAGACTTAAAACACATTATTTGAAAACAACATCAGATTTTACATGTTTCTCATTGAGGAGATTAGAGGATTTGAGATACATGGACTTGTCCTGTTGCATGCATGCATGATTTAAGGGGAATGGCTACTGTCTAGCATTAGCCCTGGAAGCATACTCTGTGAAAATGGACTGAACTCTCAGTATAGGAACTCGGGTTTCTAAAAGCTCAGGACTTCTCAATTAGATGCAGTGATGTCACATTTCCTCAACTTTGTACCGAGACCAGAAAGAGGGTTTTAACATTCAAGTTGAGATGGAGAAAACCCAAGAAACTCCCTCCTTCCCTTGCACCATTATTCCTTTTTCTATTGTACACTGGTCATTTAAATTAGCACTCACAAAAACAATGAACTAATGCAACCCGCTTGAGACAGGGCAGCTGGGCAGATGCTCTCTAAAGCTCTTCACAGAAGGTGTATCTCATGTCTCCTCTGTTACAAGCAAGACTGTCTCAGTTACTGTCAGCAATGCACAGTGTTGGTGGCTCCAGGACAGCACACTCTCTCCATCTGCAACTGTTTGTGACTCTCCCTTCGCTTTATCACAACTTAAATCAAAAGATAAACACAAACCCTGGCTTTAAACTTCCTGACATTTGGCATCTTCACCAAGTGATGTCAATTGTCAACTACTTCAAAAATTAATTTCTTTTTCAAATGCCACTCTTTGTTGTGAAAATGTCTGCTCAAAGTGCAGCCTACACATTATTCTGTAGAGAAAAAAGCCAAACTGCAAAAATCATAGTGCTGTATTTAATTATGAAGCATAGGATTTTACAAAGAACAGTAAATTGCACAGTGAAAACTGTGCAATCATTTTCTACGATGGAGAATTCATTAGAGTAATCCCACTGGGTCCCAAGCAACACATGCTTGTTACTTTTGCCAATTTTAAACACAAACTTAATAAACTACAGGTTTTATGTTTTGGTATACCTTTATGTTAATTGGTTTCCCCTCAGATCAAATGCCCTTTATGATTTGATGCGAATCACACAGAGGTCCAAATCCTTCAAGTGGAGCAGAGCAAAACTATAAGCTCAGATATTTCAAAAGCCAGTAGCCACCAGCAAGATCCATGTATATTGCAGAAACAGTTATACAACTTTCAGAAGATATTTCCTTTTGCTAAAATTAGATTTCAATTTCTTTACTCCTCTTTTCTGCACTATCACAGGGAACAACTTCAAAATATATCACCACCAGGGAGTGAGAATCCAACAAAGTTTGAACATGGAGTACCATGATGAGGTTGGTCTCACTTAGGGACTCACTGAATGTCCAAGAAAAGCAGACCCGATGGAAGACAGGTATGGATGACTCCTTAATGCAGCAGTGAGAAACCAAACATTGAAACTGCAGAGGTGGGAGGTACATGAGGGAAACTGAAGTGCTGACACAAAACCAGCAGCTGAAGGTTTGTGATCAAACTGTCAAGGGAGTTACATCTATAAGAAGGTGAATTAGTCAAAGAATGTGGATAAGAAAAAGAAGTCCATCAAAAATAAAAGTAGGGAGAAAAAGCAGGAAAGGATGACAAAGCAAACAGTTTCCAGTTAAGGTTTAATTGATAGTATAGTGGTGACCAGGAAATGGAGAAGACAAGTTTGGTCGCCTAGAGAATGCAGGCCAAGGTAGAGAAAAGGCAGGAGGGGCCAGCAGCTCTTCCTCTTGTCGGTAGAGCTTATGGTCTCAGGGACCACATTAGTTGATAGACTGTATGCAGGTTGCTTAATTGCTTTTTCATTATTCCACCGCTGGTTTAATTGCAATAGAAAAACATCTTGGGGTTTACTGCACTTGGATTTAAAATACTGTCACAGTACACAGCTCTCCCAGTTAAAGCTCATTGCTATTAGGCATTCCTCACTACAACGAGAAACAACTGTAAAAACAGGGTAAGTAACCTCTGTACTATGAATTACCATCGGAACTGTAACTAAAGCCTCTCAGACAATCAACCTTGGTGGATCCTGAATGCTTGGACACCTACTATAAGTGTGTACCCCAATTAAGCTAATAATTTTCCACGGACCCAAATAAAGTCATTAAATTTTATTTTCTGAAAGAGTTTCATGATTGTGCGATGCCTTATTATTTCATTATTATTTAGAACAGACAAGTTGCTTTCAGAATAAAGCCTGGTAAATCTAACAGGTTAGAAATGGACTTCAGAACCAATCTGGAAAAGGAAGGTATGTTAAAATATTTATGGCATAAAGTGGGACTGGTTCACTACAGAGGCCACCCACAAAAAGCAGAGTAGAGAAACTACAAATAGTGAAAACGGGTTCACTCACAAACTATTTTAAATTGTGATTTTAAATTGTCTTGCTGTGGCAGGAGAATTGTATTTAACACACATGCATTCTTAGCCTTGCCTCTGTGCGTTATATTTTCAGTGAGATCAATTTCAACTGACTGAGGCATTTAAGAGGAATTGACCAATCTTCAACAAACAGATGTCTTTCTCTCCCTGCCCCCCTCCACCTGCACATTATGGAGCTTAAAATACTGAAATGCTGCACACAGAAATATGATGCTTTCCTTGACACTTCCATGTCACACCACTCAGGGAAAAATGATAGCATAGGATTTCAAAGACAGAGGCTTCATAATAGAAAAGAGTGAAGTTAAAGGTGTGTTTAATGCAGGAAATGTGCATAGCTAACTCGTACATTACCATCGAAGTAGACATTTGAAATTGGGTACAGAAAAAAAAAGACAACAGGAAATCACACGCAGACAGGTGGGCAACATTAAGAAGGTACAAGGCTTGCAGTGTATTAAAGAACTGTGTGAAACCGACAACAGGCAACAAACATTCACATAATTGCTGAGTCAAAAATTTGGCTTTTTTAAAACAAAATAAGCTAATCAGTGATTCTCATTTCATCAGTAGTATGTTGGTCTTCAGGCATCACACAGCCAGAACTCTTTTAAAGTCGTGATGTAACAAGGACAAGACTTTCTGCAGAACAGTCATTTGACTGGCATTCTTTCAAATATACAAACAGAAATAACAAAATTACTGTCACATCAGAACTTGGCTATCATCTTATCTGCAAAATAAACAAATCCAGGATGAACTTTCATGAGCAATGCAGCTAACATATAATCCTTTAGACAAATATATATAAACATGTGCTTGCAAAGTATTTCTAAATAGTCTTTTCAAAAAGTATTGTTAGAGTAGTGCAATATAACTTTATCTGCAATTGCAACCAATGACAGGTAATCCAGAAAGGACCACAGCTCTCCTTGAGGATGTAGTCCTGCCGCTCTCCCCTGGGCAAAAATCCCCTTTAATGTCACCGGGAGCTACGATGAGGAGCTGTGTACAGGTAGTCCCTCAGGAATGAGTCTCTGCTCACTACGTAGTCTGCATGCAGCTACCAAAATATATCCCCAAGTACTCATTATGCAGTGGCCACTAAAACATTTGAAATGTAAACGTTTCTCATTTATGTTCCATGTAATTTATAAGATAATGCAGTTTCCATGCAGTAGATAAAGATTGTATCAGAAGAACTGACATTAATAGCTAAGAAAATAAAACAGTTTTACCACAACTGCATTTTTTTCCTCTATGCTATATTTCAGCTTGGTAAAGCATATTAATACGATCTTGTGATTTGAAAAAAAAAACCATTTTTTGCAACATTTCCATATTAAAATAGTTATGTGCACAAAAAGTGTTCATAGCATGACACCAAAAGCAATATGGAGTTAGTTTTATACTATTTCCATTACAGTAAAACTATAGACTTTATTCACTAAACTATGTAGTACAAATGAAGATTACTGGTACAGACAGAAAAGTCAGACAGGCAATCAGTTACAAACCTGGCAGTATTCTGAGAGAGATGGAGATTTTTAAATCTTACAATGGAATGATAAAGACATCAGGAACTGCTTTTGGGAGCTCCAGAAAGACATTTGCACTTGGTGTTTCTCATTATCTTATAAGGAGCCCACCTGCACAGGAAAATGTTGCACCAGAAGTTAACATCAAGGTTTGAGAACTAAAAAATCTGCTAAAACTTAAGTGCAGTAGGCTCCACCACATTGTATTTCTCATTAAATGTATAAAACATAGTAATGTCACCATTGTCACGGTGACTTACTGGATGATACTGACAAATTTTTGAGTAAGATTTAAATTCACACCTTTTGTAGGTTTAGTCAGCATGATTTGAGTATTTCGTGTATCTTTGACTACCAAGTAGCAGTGCATATTTACCACTTAAGATTGACTCCTTTAATGCATTATGCTGTTTCTAACGAGGCTTTCAAATGGCAAAAACCCTACTTAAAACAAATGTCTTTACAGTGAGAAAGATATCTTCAATGAGAAACACCTTTTTACACTATTTACAAAATCTCCTCACTAGATAAAAAGGCAAAATAAATAAAAAGTTTAGGGAAAGGAAACGCTGCCTAGGCTTGCTCTTTTATTCTCCCCTGGCAGATGCTAGTCTCCTCAACACATGAAGTTGGCTAGGCAGGGTTGTTTTTCTTCCTCTTGCTCGGGCTGTGACTGAGATCTTGTTTCAGTTCATGGTATTGCATCTGTTTAAACACAAAGTTCAGAAAGAAAGAGTTCACGTGGTGCTTCCTAGAAAAAAGGGAAGACACCTTTTCTTTTCCCCCAGGGTTAAAAAAGATAAAACTTTCTCCCTAAAAACTATACAGGATTTGCACATGTGATTCAACAACAACAGAACTGCAAATCTAGAGTAAGAAGGAAAATCAACATGGAGAAAATCCTGCCAGGAAATAACACTGTGCACTGACGTAAGCTTTGAAAAGGTTATTCTTTTTTTTGTTTTCTCCATGAGCTCTTACAGACAATAAACAGTATCCTCTTGGGTGAACTGGATGAATATTCTTTGTAATATATCTTAAAAACTTGCTTATTTCCAAATGCTTGCCACAAAGGTATTAGATTCAGAGAAGGTATGTGTACCCATACCTCCCACTTATACCAGCGCTGAATTGAAACTAGAAATATGTGAAGTCTATAATCTTTGTGATACCAGAGATGATTTATGTGCCTGATGTTATCTTAAAGCTTGCATCCTCTCAGGAGATTGTGTACTGCATCACAAAAGCTTGTAATTCACAACCAGCTTTTTTTTTAAGGAGTTCATGGGCACAACTGAACTGTGGTCACAGTAAAAGCTTTCACCTCAGAAAAGGAAAGGCTAAAGTGCTCTCAGAGTCCTGTCACAAGACACCGGGCAACACTGCCTGGTGCTGCGTCTTCCATCATTTGACCTTCCTATTCCTTCTCTGCATGTCCTGACAGCTTCAGCTCCAGTGTTTCCTACATAGTGTCTTATCCCAGTCAGATTTACATTATGCTGGAGGCTGTTTAATACAAGCTCTAGCCTCTGGTACTATCTAACAAATAATTACTGTTCTAAGGATCCTCAGAGGCACAACCAAGGTAGTACCTACTTTCTTCCTGGAAAATGGTCTAGCAGCCTCCTAATGGTTCATGGACTATCCCCAGCTTGAGTTTGTAATCTCTTTGTGGCAGAGAGTATAATGTTGAATCAAAATAACTGCTTTAAAAATTTGTTTAAAAAAAAAAACAAAACCAGAAAGAACTCTTAAAAAATATATACACACCACTTGAACATCTGAAGGAACTCTGGATAGAAAGTCGAGTAGCTCATTGTTATCAACTGCATAAGGATTTCGAATCTTCTTTGTAAATTTATTGATGCCTGCAAAAGTGAAAGTTCAAATCTTACTATGATCATTTCAAAAAATCCAAGTATTTTTGGCAAAGTTTTATAAAAGATTTTAGATCCATTTTGAAGTCTGGCATTAACACTGAATGAACAAACAAACAAACAAATGAATGAAAGAATAAATGAATGAACTGCAAATGCAGGCTCCAAATGTTGAAATCTGCTGCTGTTTCAAAATGCAAAAGTTTGAGGGGCATTTTCAAATTCCTTCAATACATTTTTTTGGAAAGTAACAGAAATCGTGATTATTATGAGGAGGTTGGAAAAAAGAGAGGAATAAAGAGTACTTCATTTCTGTACTGGAGACGATGAGCAGAAATGGTCTTAATTTGCAGGACAGAACATTCATGAGAGATTCTGGAGATTCAAGGAAAATATTCTTCACGGTAAGGATAATGAAGCATATGGGAAGCAGTGAAGACTGCATCATGTGAAGATTTAAGAGGAGTTTGCACAAACCTCTGTCTGGGAATGACAGATACAGATGAGCTGAAGGCAGTGCAGAGAAGAGAAGACAGATGTCTCTATTAGATATCATGGTCTTATAATGCCTATTGACAATTTGTGTTAAGAAGCACCAAGAAAAATCCTCCACAAACTAAGAAGAAAGAAGGCTTTTAAATTAGATTTATTTTCTTATCATAACATACTGAGTCAGGCTCATACACGTTTTGAGAACCCAGTTTGTGGGCTCTGGGAACACACGTCTAAAACAGGAGCAGGAACAGTACAAACTACATAGACTTTCAGGCGCAGGAGATAGCCAGGACAGCATTAAAAATGTACCTTTCTGTGTAATTTATCCAGGCTGTATCAGATATAAGATAATATAGTCTCTGGCACCCAGACCTTTCAGAAAGCTTTAGCAAGGACTTATGGCCTTGGGATGGGGCATGTAAGCTTCATAAGCTTGATAAAACCCACATCTTTCCACTGCATGAATTCTCAGTTCTGCGATGTAGATAGGAGATGCTGCCATTCCTTTATCTGGTGATTGAACAGTGAGTGTTCAAAAGGAATATCTGAGGGTCAACACCTTTAAGAAGATGCTTTGCATAGCAAGTGACTGAGAAATTCAAGGTCAACCCTACTGTTCATTACATGTGGCCACTGGACCACCTATAGGTGAATTCAGGAGCTGATATAGTTTCACTTTGTCACATCTGATAAAGAAAAATACCAGTCATCCCATGAAAGCAAATGCATGAATAAATCATGGTCAAGGCTTGAGAAAGGAAAAGCACTGCACAGATGAGAAACTACAGAGGAAGCAGAATACAACAAGGGGATTGATCTTTTCCAAAAGCTTGAAAATTTTCAGAATAAAATAATTATCTTTATACTTTTTCCACATAAACAGCTGTAGCTGTTGACAGGACTCTGCACATCACTAAATTGGATTAGGATGGAGAGGTGATTCCCATTCCACCCCACCTAACAAACCACATCTTCAAGGGCCAGTAGTCTCCTGGAGAGAGAGATGGCTAGAGGGAAAGCACAGAGAATCTCTTGCCAGGGCATGTTGACAGAGGCAGTCCCTATGGATGCAAAGAAAGACAGCTATAGAAAGGATGTGCCATAACATGGAGGTTTTTTCATTTAAAACCTCTGCTTTCCCAAGGAATGACATGGGTAAATGCTGCTACAGACCAGCTCAAACATTCCTGTGGAAAAATGTCAGAAAACAGAGGCTTCCAAGGCTTCCAAGTGCAGGATGGATGAATGGGATGAAGGAATGTATGTACATGGGGGAGGTTAAAAACACATCATGATGGAGGAAACAGACACATGTTTGGAATGCTGCAGTTCTTGAAGGGACAGATGCACAGAGCTATGCTCAGCACGACATGGCTCTGTGTGAATGCATTTCACCCTGAGAAGGTCGGGACTGCAGGAGCTGTAGCTATGCAGTACTTGTCTGGTCTCCTGGTATGATGCAAGAGAAACAGATCCCTGAAGAAGGGATCCACACACACTTGCTGAGTAAGAAGGCACCTAAACCTAAATGCCCGAGAAAAACCTCCATTGAAACCACTAGTGAACAAATGGCCTTGAAGTCATATGTAGGTACACTATATAACTTGGGGGCAAGGAGGGAAGAGATGGAAAGAATGCAAGGTGCATTTATAATAATTTGTGCTTATGCTATCCACCCATGGTTTGGGAGGCTTGGGAGTTAAGGTTCTGCTTTACCTGAAACAGACATTTCTGTGGGAGTGTGACCCTTCCTGGGATATCAGTCATGAGCTTTTCAAAGAACAGTTCTCACTCTATAGTTTTGTGGGTCTTGGAGGAGTATTATAATCAAATGTTCTTGCATCAAACAAAGGGGATGTAAGAAAGCAAGATGTCAGAACTGTCTGAACTGTCTGAAAAATGACAGAAAAAGGACACAGACCAACTACTTCAAAGTTCACGTGTATATGCTAGGAAGAATAAATTTTGGGAACAAACTAAGAGTTTGGTTACACCTAAGTGATATAGGGTATGTGAGGGAGAAGTAAAACTCCAAAGACAGGAAAAGAAAGGAAGCCCACATTCTTGTTTCTGTTAGTTCCGTAGAAATACTTTTGTACATATCCTCTTAATTGCTTCTGTTCTATTTTAAATATTCTGCTATGTTTATTTGTGAAAATACATTAAGAAATTACTAATACTGACTTATCAATAAAAATTAATTCTTTAGAGTCACCTGGATGATTTTTTGTTGTCTCCTGAAATCAAAAGTTTTTCACAAAAGTGGGATTGTTATTCTTTCTTCAGAAAGAAAATCTAGCCACAGATTTAACTGAGACTGTGCTGTTCACAAATCTGTGGTACTGAGTAAGGGTACAGTTGCCAGTGGTATAGGATGTATTGAAAAGATGTACAAATGAAAACCGGGAGCATTATTTACAACAGATGGGGTAACGACAGCTTTTTAAAATCAGTATAAAGAATTGATATAGGGGCAATTGATATTGTAGTGAGAACCTGGATCAATCATAATTCCACCCCCCTACCCACTCATACTTTCTGTTCCTTATCAACCAGCCAAATACCACCCATTCCTTTTTGTCCAACCAAAGGTGACCCCTTAAACAGGTTTGTTGTTGCTATGTTTACATACACTTTCACAAGATAAAGTACTGCAGTAAAAAAGGTATATTGTCCTAAATGCACTATATAGATTGAAATGCCCCTGTTTGTGTACAAGTAGTGAAAATAAATCAGAGTAATATCTAGACAAAACTACATTTTGATATATGAAGAATCCTCATGGCTACATGTTCATAGTATGATTAAGTCTACAATGCCAGACAAGAAAAATGCATTTTGCAGATGGGTCTACATCTTTACAGAGTTGCGATTTTTAACTAACCTGCTTGTTTCCATCATGAGGCAGCTTCATGACCATAAATAACCGAAAAGTACTGACAGTGTAAGTCATCCCTTACAAAGCAGGGGGTTTTAAGTGGAAGGGACAGTTTAAAAAGGCTTTACTTACCCCAGACAAGAACAATGTATCTCAGTGGAATGAAATACAGGATGACAGTGAACACAGACAGGGCAACAATCGCCAGCCAGCTAAGGAATGGGACAGTCCAGTTGAATGTACTAAAAGAAAAATTAACAGAAGTCAGAACTGAGGTCAGTCAACAGACCCAATAAAAGAACAAATGATGGGCGGGAGAGTGAGAGAAGTGCCACTTTCCATCAGGGTGAACAAACTGAGTCTACAAATGAATGCATGGATGTTGGACATCAGGGAGAGCCTGGGCTTGGATCCACTGTTAGTGGAAATGAAAGGAGGTCCTGGGTTCACCCACTTGCCTGCTGAATGGCACCTCTCCCTGCCCAACAGCACACATCTGCCAGGAGAACTACTGCTAGTGCTTGTCCCCAGTTTTAGCATCAGGCAAGACACACAGAACTCCTTATTCCGTAAATGTATTCCCACAGGCAACTCAGATTGCTTTCTTCAATTCTAGGGTAGAAGTAGGATACAATAGTTGGAAAAGTATTGCTAGGGCTTTCTGTTTTATCACCTCACTGTTCCACTGTAAGGGCAGCACAAGCAGTTAAAGGCTGAGCAGGGACATTCCCCTCTGTCTGAGGTATAGATGCACTCCTCAATCAGGTGCCCTTCTGTTTTGGGGGGAAAGGAAAAGGTAAGTGTATGGTTATGCAAAGCTGGAAACTCATCCAATGACCTTAAGGAGGAGAAGGTTAGGGAAAAAAAAAAAAAAAAGAAGGGGGTAGAACAGTCAGTCCTGAAGGTAGCACTAGATGAAGGAAGGAAATAAAATTCCATTGGGTGGCAAAAAACCAAACAAACAAAAAAAAAAGGACACAAGGAGGAAAAAAGGAGGGAGTGGCATAAGGTAAAGAGGTAAAGTACATTGGAGAAAAAGCAAAGGAAAGCTTATCTACCAAATAAAATAAAATATAAAATAAAATTAAATAAATAAATGTTATTTATCTATGGATAAAGGAAAAAAATTCTGGGATCCCATCAGAGTTTCAGGACGTTCATTACGTTTTCCAAAAGTCACAGATTACAACATTACAAGGATCCCAAACTCTGTGACAAAACACTGCTGGTCACTTAATTTTGCAGAGGTTGAGGTGTGAGGAAGAGAAAGTTAATGAGTCTTGAAACAGTGTGCCGTGGCTCTCCAACCTCCATGTGCAGAGAAGAGAGAAAGGTCAGATGATAAATTTACATGTATATCCCATAAAAACAATGGTTAAAGGGAGCTTGGCTCAGTGGGTTTGTTCCACGAAGGCACCACCATATCAAAAGTGTTGCATGACATTCATCCAGAAGGAAATGTGGCTTTGGCTCTAAATAGCCTCATGATACTCTTTAAAGTATTCCTACTAACTACATCCCCGATCAATGTGATTACATTATTTTGGCTTCTCTAGTAGAATAATTATTTGAATTGCTAGCCATATTTTTCATAATGAGGTCTGGCTTCCTGTGTTTATTTGTCTTATTTTCTCCCTGGCAATTTTGACATGGCTCCAGAATGAACATTATGTTAGTGTCGCTTAGTGTTGGATTCCTCCTTTTATCCTCAAGGGACACCTGCTCTTTTCCCCTCTTCTGTATGCGTTTGGGATGAACAGAAGGTCTGCTCATGTTCCTGTGACTCGGCTGTATGCAATGGATCACAGACACACCATGTGTGGGAGCACTGGCTCCTCACTTAGCAAACCTCCTTATGTGCTATGTTAGCACAGCATTCAGTACAGGTTTCCCATTATAGTTTCAGAAGCAAATTAGGAGCAAAGATTTATAGTCTCACTCAGTTTAGAAAACTCTGTTGCTCTCATCTGGTATATAATAGAACAAACTCTACTTCCAAAATGCACAATTAAAAAAACTAAATCATCAAGACAACTTCCACAAATAGCCTTTTGATAAAACACTTTTTTCAGAGACAGGCTCATTTTTTTGACTGGAAAACTTGCCTCTGCTGCTGTGAACACAGCCTGCCTGTAAGTGTCCCTATGGAAATGTTTCCCAGGCTTTCCTATTAGGGTATTTCCTCTTAAACACAAAAATGGCAACCTCCTCTTCATCAAGACAGAACAGAACAGATGAGAGATGATCCTCAGGATTCCTGCAGACTGACCTCCATCCAAGGCACCAGTTTCCTAAAATTCACATCCAGAAGTGAATCAGGTGGTGGTGTGATACACCTGGCTTTGGAGGCGCGGAAAACCAAGTCAATCCTGTCCCTGCTTTACAGCTGACAGCTGGAAGGCATCTTTCTGGAAGCAATCTCATCTCAAATACTAAACCCTGTGCTGCTGTTCGCTGACCATGTCAGAAATACAACACATTTCCTTCAGTAAATATCAGATCTTCTCTTTCTTAATGCCTAGATTTGTTGGCAATTCTTATATATCATGTATTAAGTATTACAAATTACAAATACACTAGAAGGAAAGGTTTTGCTAAGGTACATAAATACAACTTCCAGCAAGTGAACATATGCACGTTGTTAAAATACTATTCAGCTCCGCTTATTTCCTTTATCAAAGTTGCATTTTTTATTATTATTTTAAAATAACTACTGTTGGACCTCTCAATAAGATTCTCTTTCTGGTTTACTTAAAAACCTTAGTTCTGATTTTTTTCCCAATTAATGTAATTCTAAATTTCAGAATTAATATGACAGGATTTTCATTGACTGATGGCCTCCACAAGCAAAGTAAATATAGATGAGTTTGAACAATGGATCATCCAAAACTGGAGTCCCCTGAAATAAATAAATAAAGGTCTAATATTTTGTATCTCCGCATGGAAAAAGTATGAACAACATTAGAGAGCAATCCAGCACCTGTGTCAGCACTTACTTCTTGATCCTTTCACCAAATGAAGCAATTTCATCAAGGATATTCTGAACAGTGACACACACCTCCTGGATGGCATAAAGTCTATTCATAAATCCTTTTTTTTCACCTTCCTAAAGAAAAGAATAGGAATAGTTGAGTAAAAGAATTTCTGACAGTATGAAAAGGATTGTGTATCCATCAGTTAAGTTTCAAAAGTGCCCACGTTACAGATTCATGTAAAAGGAATTGTTAAAACGTGGCAATTGGAAAATGTTTTCTTGTCCTTGAAGCAGTGCTTACTGGCAATACCTATGGTTTAGTATATATACTGAGCTCCACACAATTTTGTTTGTCACTGCATTAGTTTCTAAATATATATTGCAATAAGCCAGGTCTCTATGTTTTAAACATGCTGAAGGTGCCAACCTTGTATGTTGTGTGCTCTTTCAAGAGATGAGTCATAAGGGAGAACAATGGCAGTTTGTTGAAATGCTGTTTCTTGCACTGATGTAGGTACCAGGAAAATAAACATTCCTGGTGGGAGGCACTGAGTGAGAAACCAGAAAGACCTCAGCTACAGGGACAGTTCCCTCTGACTCTAATTTGTGTTTAAGGTTCACACGTACCTGTGCCACCCATCATCATCTATTCTACCTTGGCTGGTGAGCACATGCTCCTTGTCTCTCTCTCACTTTTCCCAACTAATATTCAAGTGCTGCAATGCATGAAATATATGGCAAATGTAACTCCACTTGCCTTTACAATACAGATTAGTGAAACCCAAAAGCATATAACATGCCAGCCATTGACAAAATGGGAGATGCAGGGGAGGTATCATTGTAGGAATTAATTTAATTACCTCCTTATTTGTTCAGGTTTCACTAGTAGGACTTTTATTCACCAAGTCATCAATTTATGGTAATGCAGAAGTCTAAAAGTACTTTCATTCTTACTAAATTTGTCAAGATTATTTGTGCCCCTAAAAATGTAGGAGTTCTTTCATAAACAGTGACTATTTCCACCTAAAACCAGGAACCACCCTCAGTAAGACATATTCTAGGGTCTTTGATAGATTTGCCATCAGTGCATGTTGTCCTTCTTTCTGCCAACCCAAGTAGACTTTGCCTCCCAGAAGAACACAACAATGTGCTGCCCAGGTACATCAATACACTCCATGGGCCATTCCTCAAACAGGCTTTCTCCTGTTCTGACCATCTCTTCATTTTTCCCCCATTATCCTTCTATCTCTGAACCCAGACAGGTTGTAGCATCAACTCCACTCAGACCCAACAGGACTTTCAAAACAATGTTGTGTTACATGAGATTAAAATGAAGTATCACCATGACAAAAAATTAGTTTCCCTTCATTTTTTTTCCAGACTACAGATAAGCCAAATGGGTATGTTCAACATTACCCATCAGTTGATGTCATATTACCCCACATAGTTTGAATGTGACTGCTGAAAATAAGAAATGGAAAGAAAATTTTTCACTATTAGAAAAATATTTCCTTTAAAAAGTTCAACCTTTTGTTTTGATTAAACACAATCATCACAAACCATGATACAAAAGTCTCTGTCATTGACTCCAAAGTTCAGCATCTAAGAAATTAGCATATGTTGCATTTAATTTTTCTTTTCTTCTCCTGATGCTTAACTAGCAGACAGTATATTGGTTCACTTATTTTGCTGACATTTTTGCTGGCTTAAACCAGGTTGGAAAAAAACATCATTTAGCATTTAATCATCTGAAATCACTTCAACGACGCTGGTTCTGCTTGTCAAGATTACTTGTGAAGATGTTGAAAGTATTTAGTTACAGAACACAGATTGTCTAAAAATAAACAATCATGAGAGAGCAGACAGACAGAGATGGCAAAACTACTTTCAGTGACCAAGTGTAATTTATAAACCAAGCACTTCAGACAAAGCAAAACCGCCACTTTCTCAGGCAATGTGAAAGAGCTTATACTCTCATTTAAGATCAGTAATTACAGTATCACAAAGAAATGTTTTTGTTTTCTGAGGATGACCATAAGCACACCCAGTGATATCAACTATATCTACTGCTGCACAGCAAAAGAGAGTCATTTATGTAAGTTATTTCCTCAATGTTTTCTGCATTCTTGAAGCCTTGACAATGCATTATTGTCCTCAGGTATACAGCTTCTGGGGAAGTGGAGCATATATCCAGCATGCTTCATTTGTCATCAGAAAATAGGTACCTACTCTATTCCTTCATGTAAAACACATACTTCCAGTACCGGAGAAATATGAAAGTAATGTTTTCTTGTATACCAGAAGTAAATAGGCCATACAGAAATCACAGGTATTTTTGTGCTTTTCAAATATACATACACTTTGCTTCTTCAGTTTTGTATAATAGATTCTGCCCTCTCTGTCAAGTTATTTTGATTTACAATTAACTTGTGTGAGAAAAGAATTATGTATCTGTAACAAAACCAGTACTCTGTGACATCTCCAGAACTCAGTTGGGGTTACTTTCAGAAGTCCTGAGGTTGTTTTAATTTACAAATATTTTACAGGACAAATTTGTACCTTTGTTTAGGAATGGCAGTTCCTAATTTAGTGCTTCCACTGAGCCTCTCCAAACCATGCTGCCACTCACTCCATTTCCCCCTCCCTGCTGTGGCAGGCTGGAGATGAGAATTGGAGGCAGAAAAGGCAAAGATCGTGTATTGATATAAGAACAATTTATTAGAAACAGCAACGAGATAAGAAAACTAATAGTAACAGTAATGTTAGTAACAGAAGTGTACAAAAGAGAGCGATTCATACGCAAAATGTTCACTGCAGAGCCTGACCCAAGCGCAGATATGCCACCCTGACCACTTCTTCTGGGTTGGAACCAGTGTTACCCAGCTGCTTCCTCCAACTCAGAAACTCAACTGTAAGAAATCCTTTTTCCCTGGAAAAGAGTACCTTCTGCCCACCCCCAGCAATGACATGAGGTGGTATAGAATAACTCCAGGTCCTGGCCATGACCACTCCTGGCTACTGCAAAAAATTAACCTTGTCCTGGTCAGAACAAGGACAGTTTGAAAATACATCAGCTTAAATCACTCCCCACAAAAACACCAAAAACAGAAAGAGACAGAGAAAGGATCACAGTTTCCACCCCCCTGCACTTTCTGAGCTTAACAGAGATTTGTTGACATACTCCAAGGCAGGATTAGAAAAAACAGCACAGGAAAAAGGAGGCAGTCAGAAGGATCATGGTTCAGCTTTGCTTAAACGAATTCCACACACCCCTCAACTATTAGATGTTTTTTATTTCCTGCTCCAGAGATTTGTGGAAAAAATAATCTCGCTAGGGAAAAGCTACACTTATTTTCTTCCAGCAAGATGCTGTGTTAGAAAACACAACACATGAGCCACCTCGAGTAAACCAAGGTTCTTAATAATCCATTTTTAAAACAATACCGGTATTTCCTTTCTATAGAAAGATGGGCTGTGACTGGAATCAATTTCATTGTTTGCATGACTACAATTGCCAAGTTTCTGAAAATAATTGTCATTTAAATAGTAGATAATATTTGTTATACAGAGCTAACAGTAACTTTATTACTATTTCATTTGCATTATTTGTTTGTTTGCAGTAGGCTTAAGGTATCTGAAAAGCAAGATGTTTGCTAGGGGATGGCTTTAAGCACAAACTGTGAAAGCAAAATCAAATTGATGTTGATAGCCTGACTTGAATTTAAAAAAGGGAACGAACCCAAAGTACGGACAGACCATGTCTTCCTCCTCTTTCATAGGCAATTGTAGATTTAAGATTGATATGCTGTTTGGCCAATAGTAATACTTAACATTTGCATACTGATTTTCAGCCATAACTATATTTTATATTTGGTGAAATCGAAGCAAAATAAAGTAAATGACTCACTCTAGACTATGTGGAGCTAATTCACATGAAAACCTGAATGCAACCCATATTGTAAGAGTCTCTTTATTCAGCAGATTGTGCTTCCAATTCCATGACCAAAAAAGCGTGATTTAGGTAAGGATTATATCTCTAACATCAAACCTCTCTCATCTCCTAGTGAAAATGAATATACAAAATAAACATTTCAAAAGACTGGGAAAACAGGAGAAACAAACAAGACTCAAAAGTAAACTCTGATAAAGGTAATGGATTTAAGCCAGAGGAAAAAGCAAAACTTTAAGTTAAAAGAGTAAAACTCTGAACATTTTACGGTGGATAACTGTCCTATTAATAACTGCTTGTTTGGAGACAAAGGCACAGATCATAAAAACAAAATAATAGGAGAGTTCCAAGAATAGAAGTAAATGTTGAAATTTTTCAAGAGGCTGTCTGGGAAAAAAACTTCATATGGACCTCCTAAAAATAACCCTCATTGCCCAAGCTGGTATGATAGAGCCCCTCTGCACAAACCACAGGAACCAAGGCAAAGCGAGACTAACTTGGGATAGGTAGAGAGAGAGGATACAAAGTCACCACTGAGAGCAAGCACACCATTTTGTTATGCTGTAAGTGCAATGTCCTGTCACTTGGCCACCAGAAGACACATGAACTCTTCTTAGCTTGTGTCATACTGCACTACCTGTAGCCACAAAAGCATAGCCCTGCTATTATCACTGAGGAATCCCTCTAATCACCCCTTGACTTTTAGTAACAAGCCTATAAATCTCTATTGCTTGAACAGAAGAATACTACTTCCATGAGGAAACTCTTCAGATTTTTTCATCTAATAACTGGTGTTCAAAGTAGAGCCCATGAAAAGGCACCCACGTCATCCCCTAGCCATGAGACTCAGCTATGCACAGAACTGCAGTACCCTGGCAGACCTTTTCTGCTAAAATAAATCCAGAAGCGTCAGTAAGAAACACACTAGTACTTTACTGCTAGGAGTCATTAGTAACGTCCCAGGAAGAGTATGCAGACAGAGACTATAGAATACTGGCCTATGGTCTCGTCACTGCTCAAAACCCCATCTCAGCAATTACCTCTTAAGACTCTAACTACTGCTTTCTGGCAAGCTCACTAACAGGAAGGTAGTAAATTGTGGTGCTTTAAAATCAGCTGGGAATTAAACTCCAAACAAACTGCTCCCTTTCGTCCCACCCCCTCTAGTGAGAGAGGGACAAAG